TTTTTTCAATCTATCTAGGACATTTCCCTCCCATCCCCAGTAACCAACAAAGAAGTTTCCCTTCCATGTATAAACCTTTCTTTGACTTTTCACAATAGTGGACTAGTACAGTATTTGTCCTTTTGTGATTGATTTATTTCACTCAGCATAATATCCTCCACATTAGTCCATATTATATGGTGTTTTGCAGATTCTATATTATTCTTTAGGGTTGTATAGTATTCCATTATTTGTATGTATCACAGTTTGTTTATCCATTCCTCAGTGGATGGCCACTTAAGTTGTTTCCATTGCTTTGCTATTGTGAACAGTGCTAGGATGAATGTGAATGTGCATATATCCATTTGTGTCCTGCCTCTCACATTTTTGGGATATCTAATTACTATATAGAGTAATGGCATTGCTCAATCAAATGGTATTTCTGTTTCCAACTTTTTAAGGAATCTCCATACCAGTTTTCACTGTGGTTTGTATCATTTTACCATCCCACCAACAATGTTTGAGAGTCCCAATCTCTCTACATTTTCACAAGCATTTGTTATTTTCTGCCTGGTTGAATTTTGCTATTATTGATGCAGAGAGATAGGATCTCATGTTTGTTTTGATTTGCATCTCCCTAACAGCTAATGATGGTGAACAATTCTTTATGTATTTGTTTCCTGCCTGAATATCCTCTTTGGTGAAGTGCTTGTTTATTCTTCTTCTCAATTTTTAATTGGATTGCTTGTCTTTTTTATGTTGAGGTGAGTAATGACAGTTTTAATAAGTAAATCATTTCTAATAAATACAATGCCATCTTGAATCAAATTTCAAGATCTACCAAGAACATTTTTGAGATACATCTCAAACAGGACACCATAACATTCTTTGGTGCCAATAAGAATAAGAATATCAGAAATAACCAATTAATTTTCAGTATTTTCTTAAAAATATAAAATTTGTAGTAAGAAATATTTTTTTTAAGAAAAGTTGAATTTACTAGTTTTGCAAAAGGGCATGGCCAGAAACTGAAAGAAGTGAGCAAGATAGGATAGAGTAATGATGGTACATTTATTTATTTTTTAAGTCATATCTCTTTAATTTATTAGGTCACATAGTGACACAAACTGTGCTTCACTACTAACTGAAAAGATTGATGGTTCTCTTCCACCCAGACGGGCTGCTGAGGATAACCCTGGTGATCTGTTTTTATAACAATTATAGACAAGAAAACCCCCTTCAGATGTTTCCCATGAGGTAGAATACTGCCTGAAGCATTTGACTGCTAACCAGAAGGCTGGCGGTTCAAACTCACCAGCCATTCATTGGAATGAAGATTGGGTAATCTACTTCTGTAGTGGCACCACCTCAGAAACCCAAGGCACGTTTACTATCAGTCAGATCTGATTTGGCGGCAGTGTTTTTTTTTTTTTTTTGGTACTTATTAATTCAGAAAATGATGCTGAAATTTTAATTGCTCTGAGCCTTGATTTCCTCATCAGAAAATTAGATAACTAATAATATAAAGTTTAAAACACTAGAAGTTATACATATATATACATACATAAACATAAAAGCATAAAACATATATGACACCGTCTGACACATATTCATCTTTGTTAGTTTATATTAATTATGTTTACGTTATGTGATACAAAAACCTTATATGAACTTTTAAAATCAGACTCAATTTTGACATCAAGTGTATTCAGTAGAACATGGGAATGCAATGCAAGAAACATCTACTCTTTGGGCCTGTACAATGGAAATATCAGAGTTTCAATGGGACTTCTTTTAGTCTCAAATTCATAATATATTTTCTGCACTTTTCTCTCTGCTTTCCCACCACCTTATAGCTGCCTTTGATGTCATCACAAGCTTGTGTTTGTAGGAAAGATATTTTCCAAAGATAAATTTCTCAGCAGTTTATCTATTACCATATTAAATAAGGTCTTATCCTTACTTAGCTATATTATGACCATGTATTCAAACTAAATGCCTCACCTTAAAATATTCCATGCAATTGTGGCAGAGTAATTTTCCATAGTCTCTTTATACTGACATTCAATAGCTTTTAAATTTTTTTTTTTTTTTTTTTTTTTGTGAATACATGAAATCTAAATTTTTCTGCACTCTCAAACACTGTCCAAGGTCTATATATTTAACTCAAGTCCAACTAATTTTTGGTTGCCTATGACTTGGAGCCAACTCAAGGGCATCTAACAACAATAACAACAATCCATGGTTATTGTTTTCAGCTCCATAAAACAGAACTTGGTCATTTGATATGATTTATTTTTCCATTTGTTCTCCATCTTGTAATACTTAATTTTCCATCTACTATTATAAACATAACAGTTACTCTGTTTACATAGAAACATTAAATTTAATTATTACAATTATCACATGTTTTATCATATAATTTTCAAGTATGCTGTTCTTGTCAACTTCCTTTTCAGTGATTGTAGGAATTTTATGTTCAAGGTACACATTTTACTATTCTTTATTTTCCAAAATGTCTATTACATACACCATTGAGTTTTTTGTGGATATCCACTAATAATAACAATAAAATTGAAAAAGATGTCATTTAAGGGAAAGGAAGAATTAGGAAAACATATTAAGGTTTCACTCAGCCTACATATGTCTAGTGGTATTTAGATTCCACGTGTATTTAGCTCCTAGGAAGATTATTAAAACTCAATGTTATTTTCATCCTCCTTATCCAAAATAAAATAATGTTATTAAGAATAATCATAAAATTATTTTTGTATGATTATCCAAGTCAAAGAGCTGGTTTTAAGGACCAGAGTATTGAGACATTAAAAATTGTTCTGATCTAGGTTTGCCACTTTTTTTTTTCTTTAAAGAAGTTTTCCCTTTTATTAAGCATTACTGCAACCATAGTATGAGTAGTGAGTCAATAAATATAGACTTATTCACCCAACTACTGTAGTGTCCAATAGGGAGATTACAAAATGTACCTTTCACTTAAAAGCAAGTGAATCAGAATTCATTATTTCAGTATTAAGCCAGAAAAATTTGTAAGGCATACTGAGTAATATAAACCACAGGACATGTAATATTAAATTGATTTAGAGCATAATTAAATTTATGTAAACCAAAATTGAACGAATACAAACTATACATAAAAGAGATTTGGAAACAAAACGTAAAAATGAAGCACTGCCTGATCTTGCACTATTCTCACAATTCTTGCTATGCTTGAGCCCATCATTGCAGGAACTGTTCCAATCCATCTTTTTGAGTGGCTTCCCCTTTTTCTCTGAACCTCCACTTTACCAAGGATGATACCCTTCTCCAGAGCATGGTCCCCTCTGACATGACCAAAGTAAGTGAAATGAAGGCTGGCCAGTCTCATTTCCAAGGAACATTCCAGCTGCACTTCTTCCAGGATTTATTTGTTATGTATGATATAAATTACATTGAGTGAGAAAATAGTTTGGTGATGATTAATTTCCTGACTGTCTCCTTCACATCTTTGTTCCTAAGGCTGTAGATTAAGGGGTTCAGCATGGGGATCATGACAGTAAAAAATACAGTGGCCACTTTGACCAGGAGCCATGAGCTTTTGGAGTTGGGCACACAGTAGAGCAGAAGGATGGTTCCATGGAAGATGGTGATGGCAGTCAGGTGGGAGGCACAAGTGGAGAAGGCTTTACGGAGTCCCCCTGAAGAAGGCATCTTGATGATAGTCACAATGATGAAAATGTAGGACATGAGAATAATCAAGAGGCTACAAATTTCATTGAATGTAGAAATAATTAAACACGCCATCTGGCTGAAGGAAGGGTCAGAGCAGGAGAGAGAGAGAATGGCAGAATACTCACAGCCAAAGTGATTTATGATATTTGAGCCACAGAAGGATAGTTCCATAAGAAAATATGTGAGTGTCAGGGAACAGATTCCACCCCATGTGTAGGTCACAGCCACCAGGAGGGCACAGAGTTTATGAGACATAGCCACTGTGTAGAGCAAAGGGTTACAAACAGCCACAAATTGGTCATAGGCCATCACCGCTAGCATGAACATTTCTGTTATCACAAATGCGCAAACAAAGAAAAATTGTATCATACATTCATTGTAAGAGATACTTCTGATTTCAACAACCAAAATTTCTAGTAGTTTGGGTGTAAATACACTGGAATAACAAATATCCAAAAAAGACAGGTGGCTGAGGAAAAAGTACATGGGTGTGTGTAGTTTGGGACTGATTCTTATGACTACAATTATGCCTAGGTTCCCCATCAGCGTCACTGTGTAGATGGTCAAGAATCCCAGGAAGAGGGGTAGCTGGAGGTGTTGGTATTCTGAGAAGCCCAAAAGGATGAATGTGGTCACAGAGCTCTGATTTCCCCAATCTAGCACCATGGCCTTTGTGGAAACGAACAACAAAACCCAGAAACTTGCTTCTAAGAGGCAAACTTGAGAAGGCAGGAATAGAAAGAACTCTGGAGAGGATATATACAAAGATGGTCTTTTCTGCCCCACTTTGGATTTTTACTTGACCATCTGCTGATTATTATTATTATTATTATGAACAATTAATTTTATCTTTCGATGCTTTAGTGTCATCATCTGGAAAACAAGTAAATGATAACTATTGATATAATTATTTGATGTAAATCATCTGTAAGTGCATGTCAAGCTGAGAAAACTCTATATTCTTCAGTAAAATACAATTGTTGTTGTTGTTGTTATGTGCTGTGGAGTCGAAACCAACTCATAGCGACCCCTCCTTGAGTTTCCGAGGCAGTATAACTATGGATGCAGATTGCCCAGCTTTCTTTCCGAGGAGTGGCTGGTAAAATTATATGAGAAAAAACTAAAAAGCAAAGCAAAATCAAGAAAATCATTCAGCCAGTTGAAGTAGACATATGGTCAGGATATAGATGACCTTGGGAAGATTAAACAGTTTAATAAGCAAAGAAAATCATAGAAGTAAGTAATGAATTTTTCAGTGAATATTCTCTCGCCCAACATCCATGATTCTATACTGATATAGTGAACTTTTGACTTTGATAGGTATGTCTAATTATCAAGCTGTCATAGAACATCTATTGCAAAGAATCTTTCTTAAAGTGGTCTGGTCAAACGATCCACTGTTCACTGTGTTCAATTCATTTTATCCCCACCATATGACACTAAATGTTTGATTATTTAAAGCTAACTATCTCTTGAGAAAGTGTGTTGGAGATATTCTTAAAGATACACTTTGATTCTCTCTCTCTGTTTATGTAGTGTATTTATAGTACATATCATATTAAGAAGAAAAAGATTTTTCTTTTACCTTCAATTATAAAGCACAGAAAAGGTCAGAGTACACACACAAAAAAAAAAGAAAAGAAAAGAAAAGAAATTTATCAGTATTAGTTATCAATAACAACCAAAAAAAAATCTTTCCTGATGTGGTAAAATATGTAAGATTAAGAAATGTGAGCTTCTTGATCTTGTAAAGAAAAAAAGGTTAAATATTGGAAATTTTACATGACTAAAACTGAAAGTAAAGATTTGATCTAGAAATGAACTTGGAGACACAGAAAACAAGATGCTGCCACTTTGAACCCTGACACTTTGAACTTTGAAGCTGACAGGTGTTTTAGCCTTGCCAGAAGCAATCCACAGCCTGCTATCTAATCTACAGATGCTAATCCCAGGAATGAAACATCAGCTATAGGGTAGTATGTTCTATGACATGAGAAGATTGGATTTTTTTGGACATCATATATTTAGTCTCATATGTTGACTAAAAAAATAAAATAAAATAAAAGTCAGTCTTTAAATTCAGGATCTTAGAATGTTCTTATTCTGTCACATACATGCAGGTTGAGATTTGGAGACACAATTTGACATTATTTCAAGGAAGATAAAACAAACCATTCAATCAATAAAGGTTCTACAGCTTGGAGTGTAGTAAGAAATCCTGGAGACGTTAGGGCATACTCTGCTCAACTGTGACCAAGTGACCTTTGTCAAAGTTTTGGCCCAAGATTGACTCAGGGAACTTGAAAAACAGAAAAGTCCTGGGTATTTCCACATGCATCATATACTGCCTTCACCAACAATACCTCTACTGCCCCATCCTGATGTTAAAGCAACTGTCCTCACTATTCATGATCTCTTTTCAAGCTTTGTCAGTGACACTTACCGTAGAGTAAACATACGAGTCAATTATATATTTGAATATTTGTCTTACTTTTTTTTTTTTCCTTTTGCAATTTCTGATACATTCTAAGCTTTATTGGATCTAATTCTATGTCTGGTGGGGTTCACAGAAATGGAAGTTAATTCCTCTTACACATTACACATTTTAAAATCATTGAAGACAATTTATATAAAAGGCTTATATAAACTTTCCTCTTTTCTATGTAAACATTCTTGGTATTGTTTGTTTTTTCTGTTTACATCCTCATCTAAAAACAAAACCAAACCCACTAACTATACCAACTCATATTCAAACACTCTCATTACTGTTGAGTTGATTCTGACTCACAGTGACCCCCCCATTGGATTTCCAAGGCTGTAAATCATTACAGAAGCAGGCTACCCCATCTTTCTTGCATGAAACAGCTGGTGAGTTTGAACCACTGACTTTTTGATTAACAGCCAAATGCCTTAACCACTATACTACCAGAGCTCCTTATACTGACTCATACCCAAAAACCAAACCCACTGCCACTGAGTTATTTCTGACTCACAGCAACTCCCATTGGGTTTCCAAAGGGGTAAATCTTTATGGAAGTAGATTGTCCAGTCTTCCTTCTGTGGAGTGACTGGTGGGTTTGAATCACTAACCTTCTGGTTAGCAGTCAAATGCCTTAGGTTCTGCACCACCAGAGATCCTTTTATACTGACTCATAGGGACCCTGCATAAGGACAGAATAGAACTGCCCCAAAGGGTTTCTAAGGCTATAAATTGCCTCAATTTTCTTCCACGGAACTGCTGGTGGGTTTGAACTGCTGACCTTTTGTTTAGTAGCTGAATGCTTTAACCACTCCACCACCAGAGCCTCTTCACTTCCTTATGATGTTTATTAACTGAGTCAGAGGGTCTCCTCAATATTGTTGGTATAGCATTAACCCTCCTGAGTTGATACATCAGCACTAAGGACTAAAGCTAACTTTCCCAGGGAAATCTTGCCAGGCCCAGAGACTACGCTCAATAACCTGCTTTTGTTTGCTATCCATCTAATTATGACACCCAGGTAAGCACTTGTAGACAAATACCTGAACTGCAAAGCTTTGTCCATCACTTACTTGTACACCACAAAACACTGTGATTAACCATTTAGAACTTTTGGAGAAAGTTGAAGATTGTGAATTCATTATTGCACTTCATGTGATGCTTGACTCTTCTCTGGTTTCCCATTGCTGTCTGTAAGACTCTTCATTCTAACAGTACCAGTCTCTATTTACCTCATCTTTGTGCAGGTCACTTTGTCTGCATGGAATACTTCCACTATAACTCCAGTTTCCATTCATATTACCTATCATCAGTGCCTTTCCCTTCTTATATGATTTTAGGAAATTTGTTATATCTTTCATAAGCATGCTTTCACCTTAACCCTTGAAGAAGACACATGCTGTTTTCAATATATGCTTTAAGTCCAATTAAAACAGGGACTCCTAGAAACCTGGAAGTGCTCAGTAAGATTTAAATAAATGTGATGCTTCCTCACTAATCTCACAATCAGTTTGACAGCAAGGTCCATATTGTATACTTATTAGTTTACAAGTTACAGAAAAATGTGCAAAGGACATAAAATTATTATAATAATGTTATAAGGTAAATTTTGTGAGAGTAATTATTATGTTATTTTTAATTACATTATATTCCTGGGAGGATTACTGGGGTGGAATGGATAAGCTACATCCTTGTTTATGGCATTAAAAGTAAAGTTTGAAAATGACAGGCTGAGAAACCGTCTTATCAGAAACTCTAAACCAACTATTTTATCTTCTTATTCAGGGAAGGGGCTTATTTGGATGGATGAAGAAAAGACATCATATCATACCATTCATAGAAAACATGGGCTTAGGAAACATATTTAACTAGTTCAGATTCAGTCTCAGTAACTCATTAAGTACAGAACTTTAGCAAATTATTATTATTATTATTTTTTTTGGTGAGCCTAAATTTCATTGTGTATGAAATATGGATAACAATACTCTGTAAGGACCTTTAATATTCAGAATTTTAATAAAGAAGGTGGGATTTTAAAATAGCTAGCAACAAGTCTTTCCCTTAATTAAACACCTCTCCCCTCCAAAATTTACTTCCTTTCATCCTAAATTTCTAATGCTATTTAGCATTCAAGAAAATTACAACAGTTCTATGATTTAAAAATGACATAATAGTGCAAATTTTGAAAGTCATTTAAAAAGAGTTTTATATACACCCTTTACACAAAAATAAATGAACAAATTTGTCACTCAACCTTGTATCCAAACTTCTAGTCATGTTTTAGTTCACCAATATATAATCTTCATTTTCCCATTGCTTTTCCATCCCTGTCTGGTGCTCTCAATTCTCCTTTTGCCATCTCTTATTGGTGGATGTTGAAAAGGCAGACAAGGGAAAATGAACAAAGAGAAATTTTCACCCTGTCCCTCCTCTTCATTCCCACTATCAGCATCCACTCACCTACATGTAAGATTCCTGGCAGCTTATCTACATGCAGAGCTACCCATAATATTTGCATTTGAACTCTCAGTGAGCCTGGGATACAATAGGTTAAGTGTTTTAGTTACCTGCTATATTACAAAAATGCTTCAAAATTGAAACTATTTAGCCTAAATTTCTGTAATACCTCCAGGAACTCTATAACCAAATATTTCTGTCCCTCCATTTCTGTAAATATTTTAAACATCTTGTTCAAAAACAAATTACTAATACCTTCTACCCTTTCACTATCTTCTTCTTTGAAATAACCCTTTTATTTCTTTGGTATTTATATTTGTCATATTTCAGTGACAAGTTCCCTACATAACTCTTGGAAGAAAAAATATTGATCAATTTAGATCTCATTTTTTTCTCTATTTTCTTTCTACTAATATCTTCAATCTATATGAAATACCTGACATATTTTGTTATTTTTTCTATAATCTATAATGTATGTAAGACGGAAATTAGGACATAGCTTAAAATTCAGTACAAGGGTCCTGGGAATCTTTAAAGTAGAATTCTGTGCCTTGAATAGACATCATCAATTGACCTACACTGGTAGTACTCTAACTCAACTCACATAGATTTTCCCTGTCAGATATTTGCTGGATTTCAATATTTCTCAGATGAGAAAAAAAAGATAATCCGACACTGGATCAACTCACCAAAAGACAGGTTTTCCTGCTGCATTTTACTTTATTTTTTCTACTGAAGGCTTCCTTGTTCTTATTAACAAATGGCATGCTCAATCTTTCCCATATACGTTTCCTTCATTTACAGGCAGTTGATGTTTCTCTCAAACTTCAATTTAATGATATAGTCAACTGATGACTTCTTTTCCAAATTGTAAAAAATTTTGGAGCTAACGTAGAGATAATCTTGTGGAAGAAAAAGATATGGAAAATAAATTTGAGAATTATCTGTTTTGTTTTGCACCTAACTGCTGGACCTTAGGGACACTGACCCCAGGGAATCATGACTAAGCTTATTGTCATAAGCTATAAATGAAATAATTAGAAGAAGTTTTCTCTTCTGTCATTTAAGATGCAATTTCTTCTAAATAATTACATTGATTTTCATTTCATAAAAAAATAGCTTATCTGTATATGTTGTTGTTGTTGTTGTTGTTGTTATTTGCTGTCGAGTCGGCCCCGACTCATAGCGACCCCTCCTTGGGTTTCCGAGGCAGTATCACTACGGAAGTAGGATTGCCCAACCTTCCTTCCGAGGAGTGGCTGGTGGGTTTGAACCGCCAGCCTTCTGGTTAGCAGTCAAGTGCCTTAGGCACTATGCTACCAGAGCTCCTTATCTGTATATAGAGGCTATATTTCTGAACATTGCCCAAAGAAAACCACAGTCGTATTTATTTAAATAACCTTGATATAATTATAATTTTATAGTAATTGTTCAGTCTTTTCACAGTTCATTGACATTTTGGTACCTGTATTTACATAGAAACGCTTTTAACATTATATTGTAAATAGTTTTATATTCTATTCAGTAGCATTATATCCCGAACATATGTTCATCTGGGGGCTGGGGCGGTGGAAATGTAGTCGGTGTACTGATTGTGGCTTTAGATCTAGCTGTATTTTTCAGTACAATCACAAAGATCACTGTGATGACAGCTTAACTCCATCCATATGCTTCCTGCATCTATACTTCAAATGGGCAAAAATCAGGGAAGAAAAAAAGGGGTATTAAATATTGGATATTAAATATAAAATAAAATGTCACCACATTGTTTCCTTGACTAGGAACTCTAAAGATATGGATATATGCAAAACAACAACAACAACAAAAACTCACTGCCATCAAGTCAATTCTGACTCATAGTGACTCCCTTTGGGTTTCTGAGGCAGTAAAACTTTACAGAAGTAGATTTCCAGTCTTTCTTCCATGGAGTGCCTAGTGGGTTTGAACTGCCAACCTTCTGGTTAGCATCAAATGTCTTAGGCACCAGAGAAAGTCTTTCTTCCTAGTTCAATTTGTGGGAGCTCCACTGAAACTTGGCCAGCATCATAACAACATGTTTGCCTCAACTGTCAAACAGGTAGCAGCTGTACATGTTTAGCTATTTTTAATAGGAAATGGCTAAAACAAAATGGCCACAGGTTTCAAATAAGCAAGCTGGGTGAGTTTCTATGAATGACCCACATTAGAACTTATCCTGATGTTTTTATTGGAATCAAGATAAAAATTAAATTACTAAAAATAACTTTTAAAATCTAAGCAATAGACCTGTTTAAAAGGAACTGCTGAGGGGGAATCCTATTTTTTTTCCTACCACTTTTCAGTTTCTCAGTTTGGTTCATAAGCCAAAATACAAAGGAAAAACATAGCACAAGTTCATATGGGGTCAATAACATTTCTCTGACAAGTTCCACTTCTGAAATTATTGATTAAAAATATTATTTTGGTGCAACTTGAAATTCTGGTCTTCCAAATATTGTTTGGGATGAAATATAGGTGTTAGTCAAGGAAAGGGACCAAACCAATTCATCCTTCAATATTTGGTTTCCTCATAATTTTAAATTATTCATTTCATATAATGTGAACATTAATTTAAATCACAAACCCAGATCGTGGCTGCTCCAACAGATGGGTAGAAGTTTTCATTATATATATACAAACATAAACAAAGAAATAAAAGAAATGAGATACTTACAGGTGACACACTATTATCCTGGATTAAAGTATAGGAATATTCAAACAATCATTGCAAGTTCAAAGTTTAAAAATACATTTAAATGGTGGGTGCTAAACATTTATTTATCAAATAATCTATAAGAAGCCCTTACCCTTTAGCTTTGAACTTAACCCAGTAAAAATGAGCTGATTCCAACTCATAGGGACTCTATATGTTGTAGACTAGAAGGACTCCCTCAGGTTTTCCTGATGGTGAGTTTTATACAAGTTAACCAGGCCGATCTTCCTTGGCTCTGCGGGAGCTCAATTCACCAATGTTTAGGTTAGTAATTAAATCCAAACAGTTTGTACCACCCAGTGACCCTACTTTGGATTTAGTCACTGATTTTCTTTCATTGATCAAATATTAACACTTGAGTCCCAAACTGGGCCCTGAAATATGCTCTCATTGGTGGGCATAATTTATTGTGACACTGTGTGTTAACCTGGGTTCTCTAGAAAAGCAAAATCAGTAAAGCTTATATATATATATATATATACAGAGAGAGAGAAATTTCTCTTAGGAAAATGGATCACACAGGTATGGAGGCCGGTAAGTCCCAAGTTCCTGGATCAAACGTCAAGCTGGAGGCTTTTCCCAACTCACACAGTTGCAGGGGCTGATAAGCTCAAGATTGGCTAGCAGTATAATGGCTGTTGACTTCCATGGATGACAAATCCAAGAC